TAAGAGAGGCACATCATGTCCATGCAAAATAATAGAGGCACATCAGCTTTAGGAAATTAAGGTCACTACATAAAGTACTTGTTTGTGGCCATTGCCGATTACAAAGGAACCAAATAGGGGCAGTTTGTGGCCGTACATATAGAGTTCTTGGCCATTGCCCATTACACAGGAGAGCATGCTGATAGCTATGCCCGTTTCATTACAATAGAAGGCCATGCAAAATAATGGTTCTGGCCAATTACACATATTATGAAGAGTTCAGGCTCTTAGCAAAATAAAAGCAATATTCCAGTTCATCTTCAGTCTCCATTTTTCTTTCATCCTTAGGTTTTCCTCACTTTCTTTGCCAACTGCTTCCTCCTAGGTGTCATTTTTTTCACAAGCTCAACTTGCAGTTCATCTTGTGGGAATAGGGTCCTATTCAAAACAAGAAAAGTCATGGATACAGTAGCATACATAGGGACATGAACTGCAAGTTGACTCAATAGCATACCTCATAGCTGCTGTAGTTTCTTGGACATGAACTTCTAAAGGCATCATATCCACGACATCTTCCTGTGCATGAATTGCAGATAACTCATTTCTTGTAGCTTCTATTTCTTCTCTAGCTGCTGCTTGTGCTGCTTCTCTTGCAGCCGCAGCCTTCAGTTCAGCTTCCTCAGCCTCTCTCCTCATGAAACTGAGCCAGGGTGTACTCACTGTTCCTGTCAAACCATAAGTCGTGTTGCTGCTCTGCCGACTATCGACTTGGTCGTACTCACCATACTCACCAACAACAACATATTTAGTGACCTTAACAACTAGTCTAAATGCAGAGCCAGGATCAATCCTGGCATAATCAGCCACAATGAAATAAATACGGAGTAAGAGAGTATCCAACCCACTGCACAACTTAAGATGGTAACACTTACCAAGGTGGGCAGTCACTGCTAGCCATTGTAACCTCGATTGATTGACACCACCTACTACATCAGAAGCCTACGAAGCAAAGAACAGATGAAGATAAAGTGAGCAACCATAGTTCTCACGTTGAAATAGAACTATCTAGGAAAGCTTACTCAATTTAGGAATTAACAAAATATGAAAGTAGGGCATCTTAATTAGTCCAGCCGTGGTGCACTATACTACTTTCATGAGAATCAAATCATGCATGTGAATGGAGAAAAACACTAGCTGCAGTCTGCCGTTTGAGCTATCAGTACTACACTCATATGTATCAAGAGTAAAAGTTGAAGAATGACTAACAAAAATTAAGATGTTACATTTTCAAAGACAATCAATAATAAAAACATGTTTCATTTGAGAATTATAGTACATAACCTTTTAATTTAAGAGGAAAAACAATTAGATAAGCTTTTAAAATTTGCATAAATCATTGAATTGAACTAATAAAAAATTAATTCAGAATTATAGTACAAACCTCAGCACATGGCTATATCTCCATATCTACACCCAAGGCATCACCAGAATGTCCAAATCAAACCAAATAATCGAGCAGCGGCACTTAGGCAAAGCAAGCAGCTCAACAACGCAAAGCCGCACCAGCACAGGAGCAGGCCACAAGCAGCGGACGCACAGGCGGCGAGGGGTTTGCGTTTCCGTGACTCGGTGTGCTCTGCCGGCCTACTTGAGGCCTAATTCCCTAAACAATGGCCCGTTGAACCATGACCCCATGAACCCTAACCCTAAATGCCGTGGAATGTGGGTGCAAAGGGGCGGCAGGGGGCACATACCTTCGCTTCGTCGCGGTGGCCGCCGTGGCTCAGGGACGGCCGGAGGGGAGCAGGCACGGCGACGGCGGGCGATCTGGGGAAGAAGAACGCGTCTGGCGTCGGCGTCGGATGCCCGCACGAGAAAATGGACGAGCGAGCGACTGGGCCGGCCCGTTTCCTTCCCTTCAGCAAATAGCCAGGGGCAGGCAGGTCATTTCGCACCGCCCTGCTGACTATGCGCCACCGTGTTGGGTCGCCGTGGCGTGCCAGATGAGCAATTGTGGCAAAAAGAAGACGCACGAATTTTAAAGATGGTAAATATGTAAGAGGCATCGTAAGGATGACAATCGAGCGAGTGGCGATCTTAATAATGGTAAAATGTAAAATGCCTGGTGGCGAAGGTTGGAGATGGGACGGGAATGGATTCCTCCTGTTCCTAGTCCGATGTGGCTGGTCAGAGTTGGGAATCTCCGGCGGTCGGGCTCAGAGGCGTCCAGGTGCTTCCTCCCGAGTCGTCACGGCGTCAGGGCGGACGTTGCTGCTGATGCCGACCCTGCTCTTTCATATATTCTCTATGTTTTTTCCTTCAACCAAAAGAGAGAGTGGTGTGAGATACTGAAATTGACATTTTACATTACTAGGTAAATGCCCGTGCGTTGCAACGAGAATACATAATACAACGATAACATATGTATGAGCGTGTGTTATACTGTTATCTAAAATAGATACCGCAATCATAATGTTCCAATCAATATTACATAAGTCTTCACGAAAGATAGATAGTTAAAATATAACTCTAAATTTGAATACAAAACTAAAACATCAACTTCAATTATCGCATCACTTCATGCCTACGATACACAAAAGATAAGCTTGCACTTCTTTAGAAATCAAGTGCTACGGAAAGATAATCATAACAAGTTTGTGTTTCACAATACATGTTTTAGAATCTATTCTACAATTAAGAATCTAATCTCTCAATAGTTCGACTAAGAGAACGTGCTTTGCACGAATACCAAGCTGCAGTTGGTTTGCATGGCAGGATGATGACTGAATTGGCGATCATCAGGCAGTGCAAAAAGCTCAAAATTCCAACCAAAATGGATGGACTAAAACCAAACAAACTCACTGCAAATTACCCAAACAGCACGACCTATGTTCTTGTTCAAACAAATGAGCTCACTCTGAACTATCCAAAATACACTAAATCTGAAGCATTGCCATATTGCAGAGATAGAAAAAAAAAGAAAAGGAGCACATTTAGCTTCAAGTTGAATAGTTGACCATGGTGTAATGAAAAATGTAATTATAAATATTATGGTCTCGATAACCGATCATGCAAAGGGAGACTATTCTAGTTTCATAAATATCCTCAGAAAATTGTCAACAACTAACAGGATGTTTACTAGAATGTCCACATAAAAAACAAAACACTGACAGGTCCATGAACCATGGATCGGCGGTGTGGTGTGTGAGCGGTCCACCATGGACCGAGTACGTGCTGAAGGGTATTGGTCCTTGTATTTCCAATGTATTTCCTCTTTTATTCTTCTGAAGGAAAACGGCAAGAAAGTGTGGACATGTCATCCTGATGTCATCAAGCTAACAAGTTAGGAACGCTCGTGCAAAGCAGAGCACGGAACAGAGCACGACCGGTGCTCGGCGGCCATTTCCTAGCAATGCAAGCTTGCGGTTGCGCAGTGTGCCTTGCGTGCGCGCGTGCGTGGAGAAGGAGCGCAGGGGTGCGGGGAAGCTCACCTGCGGCTTACCAAGGGCGGAGGAGCAAGGCCGGGACTGGCTGTTCCCCGGAGCGAGCTCATGCCTGGCAATGGCGGTGCGGCGCAGTAGTTTGCGGGCGTGATGCTTGTGCTGCCCAGCTAGTAGTGGTGGGCTGGTGGTTCACGCTAAGGAGCTCGGCAGCTCGCCATGATCACCGATCTATTGCAGGCTCTACGGACTGCAGGTGGCGAGATCAGCGATCTGTTGCAACGAACATCGGAGCGGTGCCCTGATTCCATGTGCCTGGCGTGTGTCAGCGATGGTGGAGACCTGAGCCCGCAGCGGTGCAAAGCAGCAGCGTCAGTGGGGAGGGCGCGACGCCATAGAGACTTGAGCAGGGCGATTTGGTGACAGCTTTGCTGGTTGTCGTCGTCCGTGTGCTTCTGCTAGGATTAGCCGTGGTCGTCTTCGCCCACGTGCTGCTGTTTGGATTTGAGTTTAGGTGTTCCATTTTGTATAGCTGGAAGGGAAGATAGATGGGGATATAGGGTCCTGGTGACGTACCTGGTGGGTGCTCATCGCTAGCTCAGTGTCGTGACAGGGTATGCCAGCGCCAGCGGGCAGGGCGGGGAGGCGATGGGCGCTCCAGCGGCGTCGGGGCGACGGGGACAAGACGGGGCATCAGACGTGGCCGGTATGGGGTAGGACGTGGACAGGGCGCGATTGAACGATGGCGTTGATCGACGGACGTCGTGTGCGATGGCGAAGGTGGCCCAAGGGCCAGGCACGAGGAGGTGAGGACGTGGTGTCGTGCGACTACAGAGTGCCAGGGAGGTCGTGGTGCAGGTGACGGCGCGGTCTCGCGTGATTGGCGGCATGGGTTGATCGTGGAATTGATCACGATTGTTACGGGAATTGATTTTTGCCTTCCTAATTTGCTACGGCTGTTATAGGGATTGAGCTGATCGCATAGAGTGAGTGCGCATTGCCTTCCTGATCTGATCGCATGGAGCGGCTTTGGTATCGCACCCGTTGACAGAATAGTTATGAATGTTTTAGTTGTACATAAAAGACGACCTCAACTCCTCAAGGCTTACGACCACCCATTTTTACACGCTACAGATGGCTTTATCTGATCCGCATCAGCCAGGGAAAGCATGACGTGCTGGCAAAGGTGAACTCCATGATATGTAGTTATTGTGGTGTGTGCTGGCACAAAATCTTTGGCGAACACTGATCGAACTATGCGCAAGTGGTATAGAGGATTGGGAAATCGACGTCGACGACGTGCCTACGGCGATGCGATGGCCGGATCTATACAAGAAAGGGGTGGCAGCACATCCTCAGTTATTAAGTCGTCGCACGATCGATTTTTTTTAGAAAAGGAGTCACACTATCAATTCAACATGTATATTTGCAAAATTGAACTGAACAAAATGTAACATCCTTTAGCATCCTTTAGCAGTATATTTGGAAATTTGCAGCACATCCTTTAGTAGTTTAACTGAACACAAAATTTGGAAGTATATTTGTTCCATGGAAGGTATATGTATCACATCCGCCGGTAGATCAACAATGCAGCGCTTTCTTGATGTTGCCCAACGTGCAGAACACCAGACGCGTTACGGCCTTCACCGCATCCGTCGGGAGCGCAGCATCTGTCGTCGACGAGCCAGCCAGCGTATGGAACACCAGGGTGACCAGTGACCCGGTGGACTCCACCGCCGTCCTGCCCTCCTCCTTATCCTTCCTCGACGTTGTCACCGCTGGCCCGGCCTCCCGCCCGCCCGGCATCACCACAAAGCTGCACGACAGCACGGCCATGGCGCTGGAGTCATCCCCATAGACCCACCGGCTGTAGGACCGCGGCGTCGACAAGCGCGTATGTGATGGTCGACTCGCCGGGGCTGGTGCTGCTGTCCTAGAGGATCCACTTGCCCCTCAGCTCCGTGGAAGGTTCCACGGCCTAACGCACGTCCGAAAAGCAGCAGTGTGAGCGTGACTCACATAAGTACATGGCATGATTGGAGTGGTTCCATCGGAGACGAGCTGAAACTTATGCCGTGACGTGGTTGCCGCGGTCCTCCCCCTTGCGCACAGTCATGTAGCTATGGAACTGATCACGATTGTTACGGGAATTGATTTTTGCCTTCCTGATTTGCTACAGCTATTATGGGGATTGAGCTGATCGCATGGAGCGAGTGCGCGTTGCCTTCTTGATCTGATTGTATGGAGCAGCTTTGGTGTCGCACCTGTGGATGGAATAGTTATGAATGTTTTAGATGTAGAGATCATCAATCACAAATTCCCTATGCCCACAAGCTTTACCCTATGTCTATCCATGGGATTTGTGCAATTTTTATTCCAAATACAGTAGATACAAATGTGTTGACACAAAAATATGGCGATGTGATCAACACACAGTAAGCCGGAAGATCTAAGTGGAACAAGACCAGAGATCTGCTTGGCTTCAACACAGAACCAGCCGATTCTGAAAACCCAACGACGTGCCAGTCAATTTGATGTGTAATTGACAATGAGAGAAAATCTTATCAGCAATTTAAGGTGGAACATGTTGGTGTTGCACCAAACAGTTCCAAATGTGTGGCTAGATAGCCGATTCAATAAGGCTATCGACTAAATAGTTGATATCCGGCGTATCCATAAGAAGCGATATAAGAAAGCATCATCGGCTAAATGGAACATGATCGATATAATGTGTCAAGCCGATAAGTTTGATAAAAAGAGTATAACACGCGAACAAATCAACTGTCTAATATAAATGAATCTACAAACAGTTTGAATCTAATCTATTATCATCAACAGTGAGGTTCAATCGGATCGATACAGCTATGATAATGATAACAAACTAAATCCAAAGAATCTATAAAATTATCTATATATTGATAGATTCATGAAAACATGTTATATGCATGAGAGTATAGGCAAATCGGTCGATCTAGTGGAATTAAGCCATCAATTATAAGATTTGAAGCGCGACCAGATCAGAGGACGACCAATTAAGATGATATGATGTCGATTTATCTCTATCTCAATCAGATGATTTGTTATAATCAGTAAAACACTAATTATAACAAGATCGATAACTGATGAATCAACCAAAGACAGTAAGGAAAATCTTACTAATCTTAGTAGATTCGATAACTGGTGATATTGTATTAAACAAGTCATTTAATACAAGATCGATAACTTTGACCTATATTATGATTCATAAGAGATCAATCAGCTGATGCAGCCTTACAAACTATAATACAGATCGATAACTAACTTATATTATGGCCCATAAAAGATCAATCAGCTGATGCAGCTTTGCAAGCACAATACAAGTCATGACGGTACTCACAAGCAAGCTGGAGGTCGATCAGTCGATGCAGCCCTGTTTGCTGAAGAACTCACCGAGATCTATAGTACTCCTACTCCTAATGCGATGATGAAAGCCGAAAAGATTGTATTGATTGTGTGTTCATCCTTTCTTACAATAACCAGGGTCTAATATTTATATCCAGAACCTAAACATGAATCCTACTCAGATACGACTCATTACAATTCTTGAATAAAAGAAAACTTCCTAATTTATTAATAACTTGGACCCTAATCTTATTTGTAGAGTCCGACACATCTTCCTAGCGCCATTCAAACATAGTCAATTGACACCGTCTGCTGACGTCATCCATAAAATAGCTGATTCTGACATCACATCTAAATCAGCTGATATCGATTCACATCTAATCGATTCCTTGATGACACACTCCTGGAAGCTTCACCGCGTTCTCTCCCCAAATTTTGGTGTAAACATATGTCCCCACAATTTTAGGATAAAAATGATTTTATTCCAAAATTCCTATTCATCTGTTCACCATGTTGCAATTGCTCATTTCAAAATAAATGCATGATTCCTGATCTCTCGGGCCAAATTCTATATAATACCCCAACAATATCATTTCTAGCTCGCTTGGCCTGCTTACTTTCCCCTTCTTTCTTGAGCAAACTTCAACAGTCAAAACCGCCACCGTCAGAGCCTTAACTCTAGCAAATCCTCTGCTCTACCAAGCTGCCGTTCAAGTAACCTTCCTCAGATTCAGATCTATTTTGGCTACAATGGCAACTAGAGACCATGTTTCCGAGGTATGCCTTCAAACTTCTGTCTTTCAAGTGTTAGCCGTTACTCTGTACTTTCTCTTTTCTTAAATTTATCCCAACTTGTTTCTAGGAAATGAGGAATAAAATTTTGATTCCATCAGCTGTTGTTCCCAATGCCTATTATCTTGGACCCATGGGTGACCCTGATCCATTCGATTTTATCAATCAAGAAACCAACCGAATCCCCTTCAAATAATCGGTAGTAGATTTGTCTTCTTGGAACACCAAGACTCCCTTTAGAAACTGGCCCAAAATACCTAAGGGATGGAGGGATTGGTTTCGTACGGTATCAGAGAAAAAGGCTGGAGATTGGAAAATTTATGATTTGAACCAATGCCTGACACTCTTACTGTCTAGAATGGAAAGGGATGACTCAGTTTTGATTTCTGCATCTTACTCTTGGTCCAACACTTTGAATGCTTTTGTTTTTGTCATGGTCCGATGACCATCACTTTGGCCGATATTTATATGTTGACCGGCTTTAGAATAACAGGATCAATGCAACCCTATGATTTCTTAAGTGCTGGGTCCAAGAAATTAGCCAAAATATCCGACTACATAGGATGGGCAAGCTATATTCTAAACCATGTTGGGGATGGATCGATTATTAATGAAAGAGAGCATGTAGCTTTCCTAAACATGTGGCTAGAAAAATTCATCTTTTGTGGGTCATCTTGTGGACCAACATATAATCATAAATACATGGCAGAACGTCTAGCAGCCGATAATGAAATCTCCCTCGAAAAATATCTGCTGGGATCTGCTTATCATCTGATGCACCAAGTATCTGTTCAATTACTAAAAAATAAACCAGTGCATACCATCAGTGGCCCTTGGTGGCTAATATAATTGTGGCTAAATCTGTACATGCACAAGATTGCAAGACCCGATCTTAGTAATCTGAGCTTTCCTTCTTCTAACTTTGCTAAAGATTATAAAGGAAAAGAAGGAAGAACTAGACAATGTATGAATTATGGTGAAGCTGCATCAGCCATAACAATTGCTGTTGATGTAGGCTACCTTTTCAAGAAAATTTTTAAAGGGTTTGATGCAAACATCTTGACTTGGCTACCTTATGATGAGGATAAAGACAATAAACTAGTTTTGCCAGTCAAATTTTGGTTTGAATCAGGCTGCTCAGATAAAACAGCTGCTGCAATTTTTAGATGTATTGTCAAACCCTATGTACTACCAGCTGAATTTCGCCATAGCCGTGGCAAGATGGCTACTGGTTCTTTTTTCCCAGATAATCTCCCAACTTATGAATTCTATAATCGTTCTTTTGTGGCCCGTCAATTTAGCCTTGGTCAACTACCTCCTCGGCTATTCTTTAGGAACACTCTGAAGCTAAGAGAAGGTATCTGTGAGATGATGGAAGCTTCTAAAGTTTTTCAATTGGGATAAGACCTTTCTTCCTTTTGCTACATGAATGGACAAGAGCTACCTTCTCCTCAAATTTGTTTGATTCCTGATGGCAAGAATGACACTCTCACCTCTTCTGCAGTCCAATTCATCCCAACTGTTTGGCCCTGGATGAAGAATTTACTTCTGATAGTGAGGTAACTTACTATTTTTCTTTCAAAAGGATTACCTAACAAGTTCTCCTATCAACTCATCTAACAAATTCTTTTGTAGGATACCAAATTTGATCTGCCAAGTGTGGACAGGAAAGGGCATCCCATAGAATACTATCCACCATGTCTAGCCTCAAGAATGGGATCAACTGCACCCACTCTAAAAAAGTTGATGAAAACCCCAGCTGCCCAAACAATACTCACATATCAGTCTTTAAAATGCAAGGCAACCCAAGGTGTAACTCAGAAAACCACCACTAGGAAGAGACTTCGCAGAACAAAATCATCAATTGCTCAGGTAACTTAACTTATCTTCCCTCTTAAGATGATATCCAACTTCTAATTTAATCCCTTCCTTGCAACCATCGACTATTGCATCTCAATCGGCCTTGGGTGCCAATTGTTGTCCTAGGCATTTGAATAAGCGTCCACCAATCTCTCATCGGCTAATCCCCCTAAGTAGCCGATTACAATTGAAACAACCGATGCTTCTGACAGACCCAGAATAGCAGAAGATGAGAACCTCTCTACTTCACCTCTTGATGCTACCAAGGTATCTCCTCAAACCTTTTAATCTTATGTAATCCTCACTCTTCTCTGATCAGTCTCCTTTATCAGATACCACCTGAGAAAACAGTTGCACAAGAGCAAAGGTCTAACAATCCAACAGTTGAAGATGATCCTGTTGATGCTGATACCCAAACTATTGATTCTCCAACTCAGCAAACAGTCGATGGTAAGAAATTCATATGCTCACTCTTATCCTTTTATAACAAATATACACCAAAAAACTTCTTGATGCCTGTAGACACTAGCATCGAAAGTCTAGAGCTAATTAAACCAAATGTTCAAAAAGATGTTGGCACATCATCGGCTGTTCCTTCTTCTCAGCCAAAGTCTCATCTAGAAAAGGTACTGTGCTCCCCTCACCATTCATCTCATTGTTAACCCATTTCTCATTTCTAATAAGATTTCTTTTATTCACATGTAGGCACTTAATTCTCCAGCTCTAAGCTACTCCTTCAACTTTGAAGAATACATAGATGAAAGCGAGATTAGCTCATCAGCCATTTCTTCCCAAGAAACTTT